TCCAATGCTCTCATCTGGCGATGCTGCTCTAATTAAGTGACCTTCTTGTTCACCAAATTCCAAGTAAACACATTTGCAAAAATATCACATTAACTTCCAAGTTTTTAATAGGATTTGGCAATGCTGTTGTATTATCTCAAAGAGAAGTGGGAGGTTTGCCTCCCCGTGTCATTACTTCCTATGGGAACATGACCCTGAGCAAGAGCAGTGCCTAGTAAGACACCATTGCCTGAACAAATACAGCTGAGTGGCAGCTGGGGGCCTCCACTTGGAGGTCCATGAACCTCGACGCTGAAAATCGTAGCTAATGAAAATCGTAGCTAATGAAAGACAAATATCGAGCGCACTATGTTAAACAGCCATGCTAAAAAACAAAGCTGTGTTCTCTTACCCATAAACTTGCTCCCAGCTGTTTGAATCTCTCCCTGATCATTGATAGTATAGTATAAACTACATGACTTTGAACTCAATCATGTACCATGTGTGTTGATTATAATTTCAAAGGCCTTGTCTAAAAATTAAGCCTGTAAAATGTAACCAGGGACTGTAGCTTATTCTTCTGTGCTCATTTTCTAGGACTATTTTTTAAAAATATATTTTTATTGATTTCAGAGAGGACAGGAGAGAAAGAGAGATAGAAACAACATGATGAGAGAGAATGATTGATCGGCTGCCTCCTGCACATCCCTACTGGGGATTGAGCCTGCAACCTGTTGCATATGTCCTTCACCAGAATTGATCCCAGGATCCTTGAGTCTGCAGACTGACATTCTATCCACTGAGCCAAACCAGCTAGCGCTCTAAGACTATTTTAAGCTAGTAATAGATGTTCAATAAATCTGTAATAGATCAAAAAAGTTAACTAGGATGTTTATTAGACATAGTCTCACTCAGTAAAAACTGGATTTTACAGGCAATTTATACACATAACATATGTATTCCTTTTGTCTTATTTTTAAAAAGCCTTTAACATATCCTTTTATTGATATGAGACCCATAAAAGGAATGTAAAGTTAAACACAAAACTTTTATTCAAGCTACATGGTTTGAGAAGTGGGGGTGAGTAAAAAGAAAAGTCAGCTTGTGGGAAAAGCTTTAATAGTCACAGGAGGAGTAAGGCCATGATAGCTTATATGCTTCATTTGGCTCTAATAAACTCAGCTAAATCACACACTAACTCTGACATCTTAGCTGGGAAAGAGTACCCAGTATGCCCTATGTCAGATGATAATGTGAAGTAAATATGAACTCTTGTTATGGTGTTATTGGCATTCACTCAACAAGTGCTTAGTACATTTTGGGTACTGGCACAATATACATTGCCCTACAGCAGTGGTTGGCAAACTCATTAGTCAAGAGAGCCAAATATCAACAGTACAACGATTGAAATTTTTTGAGAGCCAAAAACTGACTTCTGTGCATGAGCCACGATGTTTCAATCGCACTGTACGTGTGCACCTGCACGTGGTATTTTGTGGAAGAGCCACACTCAAGGGGCCAAAGAGCCTCATGTGGCTCGAAAGCCACAATTTGTCAACCACTGTCCTAGAGAATCTCTAGATATAGAGATTTACCTATGATTAAGGTAAAATCCTACAAGGAAGGAAAGGTATACATGTATGAACTAATTTTGTGTATAATACGATAATACAGAGTTAATTCTTTAAGACAGATCTTTAGGGCATAAACCACTATGGCCATGGTGAATGTTGGAACCCTTTTAAATGGGTAAGTACCATGACCCGGGTTTCTATTAAACTGTCTTTTTGAATTTATAGTCACTTGAATTTAGTCTTCTTCTTTGCTTAGATCCCAGGATCTGGCAAGTTCGGCCTCATCTATAGACACCTCTGGGAGGAAAAAAGGGCCCAGACTTTGAAGTCAGACAAACTTGGGTTTGAATCGTGGCTCTCACATGCATTAACTGTGACTCTGGCAAGTTTACTTAATCCCTCCGCTTTTGGATTCCCTCCTCTGCAAAACTGAGAATACAAATGCTACATTGTGGCTTTGAGGATAAGTCATGATGTATGCAAAGTGCATAGAACAGTGCTAAACACATAGTCAATCCTCAAATTGTCATTACTTAACATATTGCAAAAGGTTAAAGCAGAGAGATGCTGCTTATGTGAAGCCACGTAGAAATGTATGGGGTGGGGGACAGAACAGAACAAAGACTATTCTCATTTTTTCATCTCCCTATCTTTTTAGGTAGGAGATCATATTTATTGCATCTACTATACTCATTTTAGTATTAAACCCATCCTCCATATCAATAATAATCTCTTAAGTCATTTTCAACAAGTTCAGAAGTTCTTTCTCTTGTGCTCAAGTTGTTCACCTAAAGACAGCTAGTAAAGAGTGGACCTACATAATCAGAGTGTTCCCAGAGCAGTAACTTTGTTGAGGTACTTACAGCTTACTTGAGGGTCATCTAAGAGCTGAAGAGTTGATTTCCTGGAAGGCTGTTTTTCGGTCTGATTTAAAGTGAATGTGGTCCATCTGCAGAGCTCTCCCCCTCCCCCACTCTTGGAGGACCAAGCTAAATGGGTTCACAGCATGACCCAGTTGAGTGAGGAGCCTGGCTTCTACAGCAGAAGCTTCCCCAGCTTTAATCACATCTCATCAACCTGCAGGTTCTGGTTCCAGAGGTCCAAGACTCTAATAAGCTTCCAGATGATGCCCACATGGCTGGTTTCCAGACCATGGTCAAATTAGCAAGAGCCAGGATAACCACAATTCACAAACCAAGATGTACACTGTATGCCCCCATTCTTAGGGTTCAAAAACAAAATGGGGGCAGCAACTGCCAAGAAACTGCCTTTACAAAATGACTAACTTTTGGTGGGATGTACTGATTGGATGACTGGAGACAGCTTTTAAACTACTGGAACTGCTCTGTATTGTCCCTGAGTGGAGGTTGCATAGATATACACATATAGAACTGCAGAGTTTCAATTTGTGTGCTCAATGTCACTTATATCTCAATTTTGGGGGGAAAACAGAAAATAAAGAAATGAGAATACAAAGGGAAAAAGCACTAAATTATGGAAGTAGTGATAAACCAATGGAGTATTCCTAGAACTCTCACTCCCATAAAGTAACTTAAACACAAATAACTGAATATTCATGGGACCATTTTCTCCAGTTGGAAACATCCTCTCCCATTCCTCTTAGTGGAAACACATCGAGACACTGTTCGTGTCTCTTGCCGAGAGTCTAGGTATGAAAGAAATCCTGCTGTTTAAAAATCTGAAGGGGGGAAAAAAATGACAGTAACAGTCGTAACAAATGAAATGAGCTTAGGACACTCAGCAGGCACCCCTGGCTCCTGAAAATTGGACATGCATTCTGTAACTCACTGATTTACATGCAGTTGGACCTTCAGGCTCTGAACAAATGAGCAAACCCCTTCAGGGACACTTTCCATGTTAAATTAGAGGCTTTATACCATGGTGATAGGAAAACAATGGGTCCAAAGAAATACTGTGGTCGTGTGGATGAAACACGGGGCTAGAACCAGGCAAGCGATTCTGGTGCCAGTACCACCAAGTCATTTCACTAGCTGGGTGACCTTGCTTACCCAATTAACCTCTTCCAGTCTTAACCTGCCAACTAAACACACTTCCTCCTCCTTATCTAACCCTCATGTATTTTGTTCAGTGATCACACACACACACACACAAACACACACCATGTCCTGGAGAAGGCAGCCCTTCCCAAGGAGTGACTATTGATTCGCCTAAAAGGCCAAGGACAAATTTTAAAGCATCGTACCTCGCATAACTGATGGCACCTTTGTACCACTAAACCGATCAACCCTGAAACCACGTATACCAGAATCTTTGAGCCCATGAAATATCATGTTTCTTAAAGCTGAAAACAATCATGGTTGGTTCATTTGCTATGACATTATAAATATTAAAATTTCCTTTTCTTTCAAATTCATCTCTGGGGATTGCAGTGTTACCTAGTACTACCCAGTATTTATCCTGGCACCCCACACAGTGTACAGTTCCCATAGACAGAGATGAGTCCGGTGTGTATGGGGGATCCCCATATCTTCCACAGCACCTTTAGAAAGCAGGCAACGAATACACGCTCATGGGTGCACGTCTCCTGCATGCAGTGAGAGCACTGGAGTAGAAGCCAAGAGCACATGATGAAAAACACATCAACCCTCACCTCCAAAAAGCTGCACGCAGAGAACAGTGCCTCCCCTTCCTTTTGTTGAAACACACACACACACACACACACACACACAATAAATAAATAAATAAATAAATAAATAAATAAATAAATAAATAAATAAATAAAATAAAAAGCTGGCGAGCATTTTCCGAACTACAGATTCCCTAGCTCCATCCAGGCTTCGTTTTAACAAGCAGCAGGTGACTGATTTACCAAGCACCCAGGTGGTCTGTGGGCCATGCTTTAGGAGACTGTCCCTCTTCTTGTTGGCTCAACAATCTTGACATTTGTTTTTCGTTTTTGTTTTCAATCAACACAACCATCTCCCCACCCCATTGCCCACAGAGGTCCTGGCGGTATTACACTCTGTCCTGGCAGAAGGTCACGAGACAAGCCCAAGGCCAAGTATTTATTTGTTGATGCTGTGTTTTCAAAACAAGATACGAAAGCAGCCATTCGTCTTTGCCTCGCTGTTTACAACCACCATCCGATCCACTTTCCTTATAAACTTTCCACATCTTTCCCCCTCCAACCTCTGCCACGCAAATATTCCCGAGACCAGTAAACAGCCTCCGGACCTTAGGGCCAGACTCCGGGCCCTGCTGCCCTGGCCCAGAAAACACAAAGAAAGGTTTGCACCACGGAGGTGTCACCCAGCACGTCCCAGGCACCACCATGGCACACCCCCTCCCCACCTCACCCCCCACTCCAATGCCCAAACGCACCTCCAATCCCGTTCTTTGCAGCGCCGCCTTCCCACAGCCAGGGTGCCCAGCGGCGGCGGCGACAGGACACAGCCTGAGGCTTACCTGAAACACGTGGTGAGCTCTCCCGAGGCCTTCAGACACGGGTATTTGGTCGTGGCGATTTTGTTTTCTGAGCAGACTTCCCTACGAAAAAGTTAGGCAAAGTCGTTGACTCTCCACGTGAGAGCGCAGGCCAGTGCGCGCTGGGGATCCGGCGCGCGGAGCAGCCACTGGTCCCCCAGCGCGGACGCCCAGCGGCCTCCGGCCAGGGTCCCCCCTGGCGAACCCAGTCCCAGGGGCCCAGGAGCTGAAGAAGCCGGTCACAGGAGAGGGGCAGGAGTAGGGGACAGATGTCTGACAGATGGGGGGAAAGCCCGGGCTGATGGCGCGGAGGCTGTCACCCCCTGGCAGCGTTGAGAGCCGCCGGGACCGTTGAGCGCCCACCCCGTGACGGATGGTTGGATGGATGATGGCGAGTGTGCGGGTCGTATGCACCCCGAGCGCCTGGCGTGCACCCTTCAGGGGCCGGCAGCGCTTACCTGTCGCTGTTCTCGGGCTCCTCGCGGTAGCTCCACGTGTGTCCCAGCGCCAGGAGCAGCAGCAGCGGACCCAGGCTCTTGCCCAGCTGCCCCGTCGCCGCTCCTCCCCGGCTCGGAGGCGGCGGAACCATCGGGGACGCTCCCGACTTCTTCCAAGCGCCCGAGCCCTCTGCCCGCCCTGCGCCCGGCTCCTCCGCGCCCGCCCGCCGCCGCCGCCGTCTCTCTCCCCGGCAGGGGGCGCCGGAGGGCAGGGGCGTTTGCGCCACCTGCGAAGGCACAGGGGCTGGGCTGCTGTGGCGCTGGGGGACCAGGCTAGGAGCTGGGGTGCAGAGCGCAAATTCCGTAGACCGGCTGGTGAACGACCTGGAGGGTGGCGGGCGGGGTCCAGGTCTCCTCGGCCGGGATGGCCACACCGTCACCAGACTCGCTGGATGGACTCAGCCTTGGGCTGCGCGCTCCTCCTTGCCTCTGTCCTGGGCTGTGCGGAGCGCAGGGTGCGGAAAACGGGCGGCTGCACGCATCTTAACACCAGGGTCGCTCCACCAAGAGGAGGAGGAGCCGCTTCTCCCCTAGGGAAAAGGGGGGCCGAGGAGTTAACACGCTTCCTTCCTGTCGTCAGTTGGCTTCTTAAGACCAGGATCAGGACGTGGGCTTTCGCGCCTAGAGCGCCAGCCCTGGGCTTTCCCGTCGCCGTTTTCCCTGGACGGAGGAAGGAGGTGGTGGGGAGACTACGGCTGCTTTTGCAAACTGCCTGTCATGCCCGATTGTTACTCTGCCTCCCTTAGAATCCCAGGAGAAAGCTGCCCCCCTTGCTTCGCTTCATTCGTTAGCAGAGCCGCTGGATTCAGTAATGAGCTCTCAGCTGCTCTTTCCAGTGGTTTTTAAATCCTCTTACCCTGAGCTGCTTGAATGCTGTTTATATGTCACACGTGAGAACTGGAAACTCCTGGAAGATCAGGTGAGAGACTGAAGTCCACCCCCACCCCCCTCCAGTTAACACAGCGGGGTATGGGTAGCCTGAAAACCAGGCTGGGGGAGTCCATCAGCGCATTTGGTGGGGGCTCCTCTGTAAGTCGTATATGTCTGCATCTTAACACTTTATTGCACGTTGGGAGTTCTCTTCTGATAAAGAGAAGCTCGCGATATAAACGTGCCCCGAAGTGCCAAGCAACTGTTCTGGCCCAGAGATGGCAGGAAGAGCACGAGGTTATAATGTCTAATTCCACCCCTAGGACCTTGAGGCGAGAGGTAGCTTGTCACAAGTTATGAGGGTGCTAACTGGTTAGGTAGACAGGTGTTTTGATTCAAAATAGTCTGATCAACTGAGAATGGCCATGCCTGTCACATACGCCTCAACATTTTTAATAGCAGTGACATCCTCATGCCTCCGTGGATGCTTCTATGTTTTCCAAAGGTTTTTCCACATTTCTGATTTTATTTGACACTCACAATAGTCCTTGAAGCTACGAGTCTGACTTTTTGGTTCGGTGAAGTGTTTTTTACCTCCAGAAAATTTTACCTAGACATGGAAGACCATAAACCACGCAGATATTTAAATACTGCACTATACAAAATAAGTGTATTTTCATGTAGTGATTCAGAGGGTACTTCAGATGTTTGCAAAATCTGAGAATGGCCGGTTTGTAGTCAGAAAAGAGAAAACATTATAGATTCAAATCCAGGCTGTGAGCTTCCTAGGTGTGTGGACTTGGCCAAGTTACCTTTAAACTCAGTTTTCTCATTTGTAAAATGGGGAAACCTCCCTCATAAATATTTGTGAGTATTAAATGAGGTAATGCCTATAAAGCATTTTTTACCGTGCCAGGGGTATATTGAATGCTCAGTAGACATTAACTATTTTTTTTGTGTGTGTGTTTGTTTGTTTTTTGGTTTTGTGTTTTTTTTTGTTTTGTTTTTTTGCATAAATCATTGCACAGAAATTTCTGTTTTAACTTTTAAGCTTCCCCTTTCTGGCTATAAAAGAGTTTATTTAACAACAGTTGTTTGGGTTCCTAAAGAGACAAGCATATGAAAAATAAACCCATCCTAGAATTTACAGAGACTGTGTCACTCCCAGATTGACCCACAAAAGTGTTTAATCTTCATCTTGCAGGGAAGAGGCATTCTCTAGCACAGTGGATCTCAACCTTTCTAACGCCTCGACCCTTTAATACAGTTCCTCCTGTTGAGGTAACTCCCAACTATAAAATTATTTTCGTTGCTACTTCATAACTGTAATTTTGCTACTGTTATGAATCATAATGTAAATATCTGTGTTTTCTGATGGTCTTAGGTGACCCTGCTAGCGGTTCTCAACCTGTGGGTTGAAAGTCTAGTGGGTCCTGTTTTTATCATTACTCCTTTTTTTCTACTGCAGCATTGTGGATGCTAATTCTGCAAATAATAGGGACCGGTATAGGAGATTAGCTGTCAGCTTCATTAAATAGTAAGCCACATATGGGGACATGCAGCGTTGCAGAGAAAATAACTCAGGCTGCAGATGATAAAAGCAAAACTGTCCATATGCACAGCTGTGTGACAGAAGACTGGGGACCAAGCCAACTTTGCTGCCTCCTATTTTCAGCCTCTCACACTGAGCACAGATAAGAATGAGGTGTCAGAGAAGATGCCCCGGCCACGAAAACAGCCCGGGTTTGCCAGGGGAGGGTGGTCGGAGCATTTATGAAGGAGGTGAGCTGCAGCAGAGACCTCTTGAAAACCTTTTCCTGGAGGCCTGGAACTTAAACCAATTGGCAGCTACTGACAGTATGACATTCAGCATGGGGCTCGAGGGGCTAGCGAGAGAGCAGAGCCAAGCAGAAGGGGATGTGACTGGCCATGTATGGATAACAGTCCCCTGAGGAGGTAAACACTCCCGTAAAAGACAAAGCCTGCATCTGCTCAGCCTGCAGCCTGCATGGGACATGTCAGAATGAGGGACCTCCAGGTCTTACCTAGGTTTGCTCTCCTGACACCCTCTCTCCCTCCCCATTTCCTTGTTACAGAACAGAAAGTTCATCCCCCTGGCACTAGCAGAGCCCCAGAACTCAATACCTAGAATTGCAGTGGGGAAATATTGGCTCTTTTGTAATGAGTGGTGCCATCCAGGAGTACGGGAAGCTAATGCTCAAAGCCTAATCCCCCAATAGCATGTAGGTTACAGATGACATAGGGCCAAATCAAGGGGTTTGGGTCTTGCTGGGAGCTGATTGGCCGGAGGTGTGGAAAGGGTGGCGAATCTTTTCTTCAGGTCTTGAGGACAGCTCTGAGGTCCTTCCCAGCGTCCCTCTGCCTGGTTCTTGGACAAGTAGCCAGGGGGGTTGTTTCATCTTAGGGCTCAGGAGCTGAAACACAACTTACGTCAAGAAGTTTATCTTTAGCTGCCAGGGGTCTGGGCCTGGGACCATTAGGCAGGTCTGGGCAACCTTCCTCCGCTGCCTCAGGGGGAGCTGATTATCTGGGGCAAAGACCGGGTTCCTGAGGGATATAGCCAGAGAGACAGAGATGATTTCTAGAGCTGGAATTTAAAACAAAATTTAGTCCAAAACCGGAGGACCCTCGGTTTCCCTCTCCTCTCTGAAACCCTGGGTGAGCGGACTCGCCTCTTGCCTCTTCCATCGGAGTGTTGCAAAGATTAATGATACGGACCTGAGTGCTCCCCAGGGGAGGCCCTGCATGATTATTTCTTTTCAGCATACCACTCTACGATGTTTTCCACATAGACCTGTCAGCTCCCCTGAAACAAACCAGAGAGTGGATAGTTATACAGTTTACCTTGCTCCGGGCTTGTGGGCATGGGCTGTGCTGTGTTGGGCTTCCTGGTGGCCCAGGTGTTGTTAAGGGCCACTGAGTGTTGTCTGGGAGCAGTGGGGTGGGGATGGGGAGTCTGGCTGCAGAATACAGAGGCCAGCATACAAAGCCAACGGGAAAGGAAAAAAAAGAAAAGAAAAGCTAGGGCCATCGAGCAGAGAGTGTCCTAAATAAAACCAGTGGCCACTCATTTTTTTTTTTTTTTTACCTTTTTTTTTCTTTTTTTAATTGAGGCCAAATTGACACATGACATATTAGTTGCAGGTGTACCACATAATGATTTGATTTTGTATACATTGCAAAGTGACCACCACAATAAGTCCCTTTAACATCCACCACCACACAAAGTTACAGCTTTTTCTTGTGATGACAACTTTTAAGATTTACTCTCTTAGCAATTTTCAAATATACGATATTGACAGTAGTCACTATTTGTATATTACATTCCCTTGATTTATTTATTTTATTTTATACCTGGACATTTGTATATTTGTATCATTCATCTTCACCCATTTTGCCCACTCGTTTTCAAGAGACCCCAGGATTTCATTTGGAGACAATCAACATAGTATCACAAGAGAGAGATCAATAAAAAAGTTACTCTAAAGAGAAAAACACACACCACTAATTAGGAGCACAAATCATTTTGTTATTGCTTGTTTTTTAAAATGACCTAATTAAAAGGATTTCTGGTGGCTGACAAAAATACTATTATACAGTATGTATATTTCTGTGCATATTTAGACATAATATGATAGCATAGAGCACTATTGAATGAAGCAATTAAGGCAAAGGGGGGGGAATCAAGACTGAATAATAAAATGAAGCTACATGATTGTATAAGCAGAGAATCCTGTGCTGTTTAAAGTTGATCACACTCAATTCTCAGGTTCTCGGAAGTCTATTCAGGATAATTACATGATCAGTTATAAGTTTCAAGGTAGCCATAAAGGAAAAACCTATAATTCCTCAAAAAAAAATTACAGATTTTTTTTTTCCTGTAGCTCTCCCTGAAATGTTACAACAGCCACCTACTGTCAGGTAAATGTCTTTCACAGAAACAAGACTCAACAAGCATGGGAGTTCCTACCGAATTGTGAGTGATGTACATACAACATAATGAACAGGTTGCCCTGAATCCTTTCCTTCAGTTTCAGTTTTGATGGACAGACCTAGAGAAGTAGGGCTACACTTTGAAAAATGGTAATGTGTGTCAATTTCCAAGCCATTGTGAGGAAATGCTGGAGGCAACAACAATCAAACTTGTTAACATGTAAAAGGGCTTTAAAGCCCTCCTTTTGGGGTGTGTACATTATCTTTG